AAATGATGGGGAAATAAAATTAGAAATTTACCCTGTTACTTGTAATTAAGCAAATTTTAGACTGGTTTATATAATTTACAGAAATCAAATAAAAACTGAGATATTTCCTATAACGACAAAATGATTAAAACATGGGCAAAAAAAAGAAAACAGTTTTGAACGAATACTTTCTTCTGAACGAAACATGGTCAGCCGCTACTAGAATTACCACGCTTGATGAACTTATTTGCCTTAAGCTATTATATGAAATGAGTAACAAGTTAGAGTCCCATAATTTAACTTTATTGCATTAATAGGGTCTAAAATCTGTTTCTCTCAAACTTCTGAAACGCCCGTGTATGCGAACTTCTGTTGTAATGAATTTCCTTCCCTCATACCAAGAAGAATGTTAGAATGTTAAGAATAACCTACTTAAGTGATTAATTACTTCTGTCTTGAAGATATTTGTGCGGTTTCACCCACTGTGTGCAGTTTTGCTTTAGGAGAGGACTGCAACTGAGAACATCAATACCCAGACGTTGACACTAAACAGAGGCACTAAACAGACGAGAAGCAAGATGTCTTCAAATGAGAGAACTAAACGAAAGAAGGATTGGCATGCCGTTTAACAACTCCTGAAAACGATGAGCCATGCAATAACGTGATAGGTGGAAGCATCAGGTAGAAAATTGACGCGGGCGTTCGGGCGACCTGCCGACGTCTGAATGCAGGAGTGATATGGGCAACTTCGGAGTGAAAGGTTAAAGAGAAACTAAATTTCGGTTTGTTATTATCTGTTAGAAATTTTAAACATCGATACTACTAGCTATAAATAAATTATACTAGAACTGCAACTTCTAATTTCTTTCTTCATTTCAGCCTAACAAATGACATTAGTAACAGTTTAAAGTCAAAGAATTTAGGGAAACCGTAGTCTCGGTCTGTTGTGATTTTTATACCTTGATCTAATCAGTCGCAAACTAAACATAGAAGAATGGCAACGTTTTATTCATTTCTTCGTCTCAAGTTAAGAAATGACTTTGGTAACAAGTTATAGAGCTTAGGAAAAAAAGGAAAAAGCGGACTTGGTTTACTATTATTTGCGTAATTTGTGAGGCTATTTGCAATTTTCTTCGTCAAAATTATCAAATGGCTTTGGTTGAAAGAAGTGAAAAAACGTGGTTCATTATTATTTGCTATGCATTCTGCATGTCATATATCGCATTTCATATTATAAGTGAAATTAAATTCACTTGCGACAGATGTTGAAAAATAACGAACTCAGAGAAAATTTTATGCTAATAGAACATATTCATCATATTTGATGATTAATATTCTTTTCGAAATATTTTTTAACAAATATGCCATCTGCTAGTTTGAGAAACATAAATGTCTTTATTATCATTTCAATAAATTTTCATATCTGCAATGACAGGTTTAATTTTTACAACGTATGTGTTCTCGTATATAAGTACCTACCCGCATGCACGCAGATATATTCTGAAGCCTTCAAAGTAAGTTTGATTCCATTTAAAGTAAGTATTTTTACTATTATTATAAGCACCAACATAGCTGTGCGATTAGTTAGTCCTGTTACTTTTGCTATGCAATTTGTCATTATTATTTCGATTACTTAACTTAAAATTTAATATTTTGATGAAATTAGTATTTAATTGCATAAAAGCAAGTAAATTTCTTTTCTCATACTACTATATTTATATGTTGCGTAGTCCTACTTTCATGAAAGATGATTTATTTGCCCCCTCAATGACAGTTTTACAATCTAAAATACTAGTTATGTGAAGGGCATTAGGTTTACTAAAGGAGAAAATGTGAAGAATCAGTTATGAATATGAATCTTTAAATGTTAGCTTAGCGTGCTAATACTTTATGCCATCACGAGAGAACGACGAGTAAATTTCAGAAAGTCACTAAATCCTCCCGCATTTAGACGGTGACTAGGAAAAGGCCCAGGACACATTCCATCAATTTCGGATTCTTGAGTATTCCATCAATGTTTTAGTTTGGGATATATGCTATTAGCCATTTCGAATCGGGAAACGTAAAACCGTCAATTGCTTTTTCGCTAGGTTTCAAATTACGAGACTTTTAAATGTTAGCTAGACACACTAACTACTTTTTCTACAATGGCATGCAGTTGGGAATCAAAAAACCCCTTAATGAAACATTAGCATTGACGGAAGCAGAATTTTATACCATTTTGTCTTCATTTTCATAATAAATAAATATTTAATTGTTACTGTCATTTTCGAAAACTCCATGGTTCATCAGCAAATGATATTCGTACAGGAGTGTACAACATTTTATGTACGTCATATGGTGTCAGCAGAAGTCAACAAAACGCTTACGTTTTTAGATTATATAAGCTGTAAATGTTACAATTATTTAGAGAGAACATGATAAAATTATAAGAAAATTTTCCAGTTCAACTAAATTAATTTTTAACATTTTTGGGGAAAATTTTCTACTATATTTTGAATGTATTCGAAAATAAAAATTCTTGAAAATTGAAAACGTGAGTGATTATTTGTTTGATATAGTGAGGTTTCCTTTAGTTTCATGTTTTTGCCCAGTAGTATATTTTTGTATATATTAATGGTTTAAAAGTTTTCGGTTTATTGATTTTTCTCATAAGAGTTTCTTGCTCCGCCTTTAAAAACTTGCTTTAGTGAAATATCTTAGTTTGCGTCTTATTATTTGTATATGAAATAACGGAAGATGAATAATTTAAAAATGAAATTTTAACATTTGCTTATTTGCAAATGTAGAAAAAGTTAGCTTTTGAAAATGCCGCAATTTTTTAATGTAAAGATGGCCACTAGTTATGCGAAAAAACATTGTAACCTGGAAAAGTTAACATGATGAGATACGAAAGGATTACCAAACACATTTTCTTGGCGATCGTTGATAGTGCGAAGATTCTAAAATAATATCTTAATAAATGACAGAACGCAAATGGTACGGATTTATTCGATATTTTAACAATATGTGAATGGTAACAATAAAAAATTATCCCAAAGATTTTGATCAACCCTTACATTTGAATCATAATAACCTTCAGGTACATTCTCTATATTTGATGATAGTAAGCATTGTGCATTTATTGAAGTCATTTCTACTTCCTCTTACGAGGTAGAGAAAGTATTTGTTTTATTATTTACGTGCTCCTTCCTTAGGTACTACACGGAAGGGAGGGATGTCTTCGTGAATGACTTTCTATGGGGAACTGGCTCGTATAAACGTTACAGACGAGGAAACCACGAAAACACCCATTCAGAGAGTCCATTCGCGGGAATCGAGTCTCTGACCGAACTACCAGTGTTCAGCGACTTAACCGCTCGGCCGCTGGTGGGCCTAGAGGAAATGCTGTAATGGCCCAAAACAATCCAGTATCCTATTTCAGGATATATATGGGTAAATATATCGACCCCTTTACCCGGCTTCAAAACCCGCACTCGGCTTTTATTTTTGCAATCACTGGTCTTAGTCACGGGCATTTTAACTACAGAAATGTTTTAAACTACGAAAATGTTCATGTTTTGGCAATGTCAAATTTAAAAAACAAAACGAAAAATGATGAAATCTAACTTTTAATGCGGTCTCCCGGCTCATATGCTAATATTTTAGAAAGTTTTATACTCATTATGAAAACAAAAATACTAGAAATGTGACGCTCTACGACGAAAATTGACCGGGATGTTTAATTTTAAAATTTGCTGTTTTTGATGTTATTTTCAACTTGCCTTGAGGGACTGTTTAACTAAGCTAGAATACTAATTCAGAAGTCAAACAACAAAAATCAGCGTTATATTTACCAAATTTTCACAGGACTAGTTTCGATGGTTTTAACCGAACCACCATCTTCGCAAAACCGCGATGATTTACCGAACCACACTTCAGCTGCAAACCGCGATGGGGGACGAACCACCATCTAAGCAAACCGCAAAATTTTGCGGTTTGCAGGAATGGTGGTTCGTAACACATCGAACTAGTCCTGTGAAAATTTGTAATATAACGCTGATTTTGGTGTGAATTCTGAATTAGTATTTATTCGGCGGGTATTGTGTCTTAATTAAGCTAGAATAATTCGAGAAAATGGGTTTAAATGAAGTGCACCAAAAGGTGTATATAATTTAATATACTGTATAAAGTTATCTGGTGTCCATATCAGATTCTTTTATATTCAAGTTACTACCTAAACTTCCATGATTTGTTTCTGTTTTTAAAGATTAGGATTTCAAATATTATTTTAAATTGAACAATTATTTTAGAGCAATAATGCATAGTACTGAGAAGTTGAACGCTACTGTAAAATGCGAGCAATCTTAAACATCTCATTTTAGAAAAAAAGATGTGCAAAATAAGGGCTAAACACGTAAAAAGTGTTATATGATATACATGATACATGATAGTTGTTCAATTCAGAATTTTCCACAATACAGATCATGAAATCTGAACAAGAAATGAGGTGTGGGGAATTTTAGAATAAATTGCTTTCCTTAATATTAACCTTGACAAATGTCTAAGGCTGATTTCAGATTAGTAGATATTGTAATAAGTGTAATAACAGTAATTTACAGGTCACTGGGTTATAAAACCACAAATCTGCCGTCAATCGAAAAAAAGACTAGAAATCGTTTTTCTAATATAATAAAGTTTAAAAAACAACTTTGAATTTAAATGCATCTTATTTTATTGTGTTCTAGAAATGTATTGAAAATTGGTTGTGAAAATTGTGCTCCCCTTTTTCATTACCTTGTAAAACAGTTTAAAGGTATTAACTGTTGTCTCTTTTTCTTTTTTCAAATCAGATATATTCAAATGTCTGGAGTTTAAATGTTAGTAGATACGTAAAATACAAATATATCTCTTTTACGGTAAGAAAATGATAAACGGCTATATTATTTGATTTATGAAGAAATGATTTTACTGCATTCATATGTCACCCATATGTCACAAAAATAACTATTTTAAGTCCTCTGAAAAGATAAGTACTGAAAATTCTTTTTCTAAGTTCCTTTTTTTTTTTCAGAAACTAATTTCCTTACAGTCTCTATTCCAGACAGATTAAAACTTTTTAAAAATGCAATTTGTCTTGGAAAACAAATCATTTTAAATGAACTGAATTTTAATTTCTTGGTTAACCTTTAATTGAGTAATGAGGCTAGCAATTTTCGGCAACATATTTATTTGAGGGGGGATCATAAAGGTAATAAACATGTAATATGATACATTGTTCAATAATTGAAAAAGAAATTATTCACAGTGTCCAAATGCTAATAAAAATCACCCAAATTAATTCATTTAAGAACTGAAAAATTGATTAATTTTTAGTTGGAATTGAAAATTAAACAAATTTATTGAGTTCTTAAATGAATTAATTGGCGAATTAATTAATTGACTGAAAATTAAACAAATTTATTTTCAACGAACTAAACTAAATTCTCAACCATGTTTTAGGATACCTTAGGTGATAGTAAAACCCTCAATACCGATATCAAGCACTAAATGGTCTTCTTAAAGTTAATGGTGTCTTACCGGAGGTCTTTTGTAAGGGAAACTGTTTGATATTCAGGAACATATGAAAACGCCAGTTCCTTTCTTCACTGAGTAACATTTACGTGTGTAATTACATTTATTAAATTAATGTTCTTTCCAAAACTTAATAAACACTGTTAAGAAAATGCATATTAACACTAATATAAGATTTCTGAATGTTTAAAGCTCATTAATTTTGTCCGTTATCGTAATTTATTGTAAGATATAACACGAATATCTCGTAATCTACCTTCGAGAGCTCTTTATGAAGGTTTGGTTTATTAGATTACGGCAAAGCACTAGAGACGGATGAGTTCGTGCCTTAAGGGGGGATGAGTTTCTGGAGAACGTTTTAAGGGAAACTGGCTCGTATACACGTTACACACGGAGAAAACCACAAAAACACCCATGCAGCCAGCCCGTTCACTGGATTCGAACCTCGGACCGAACTACCAGTGTTCAGCGACGTTACCGCTCGGCCGCTGGTGGGCTTTTATGAAGGAATACCTTCTTATGCTTTTTATCATAAATAATGAATCATTCAACCGAATTCGCCAGCCGAGCATAAAATCATTCAAAACTAGAAGTTTAATAGTTACGTTCATTAGCTTGCCAAGTTACAAAGCTACGCGTTTGAGAATTTTTACCCCCTCCCTTCCGTACAGATTCTGATACTGGATTAGGATGACACTACACAAAAGTATCTTATAAGGTATTTTCTTTTTCTTTCCAGCATGCCTTCGTGGTGTAACGGTAGCATATTCCAGAGGTTCAAGTTCGAGTTCTGGCGAGGGCATTTACCTTAAGATATTTTCTCGCTTCATGTTATAACGGTAACACACTCGGCGCGCATTCGAGAGGTCCAGCCTCGAATCCCCTTAAAAAAACCGTGATGATTGTACAACCGTTAGCTAAACAAAAGTTTTTTTTACCACTATTTATATTTTCTAAGCATCATAAAGCATTTTGTTTTACATATTTGGCATGACGATCACTATATTCTACGCATAAAATAATGAAACATGATTTATGACTTTCAGAAGAATCAAATCGTTCTACTACTTTGATCTTAATGATATCATTTTTCTTCTTTCAGACTAGTGAAGAACCAAGATGAAATTCCTTATCGTTTTGTGCTTTTTAGCTGTGGCTTATGCAGCAAGCGTTGAAGAAAAAGAAGGTAACTGTTTTAAATTTTGTTAAAAATTAATTGACTTATGCAGTTCGTGTACCAAGTTTTAGAACTAAATTTTAAAAAAATCTGATGTGTACACCACATGACTTCCTTGCACGGAATATTAAATTATACGCATTTTTTCTTGCATTTCATTTAAACTTATTTGATTAATTTAAATCTACTTCGTCCAGAGCGCATAAACCACAATAGAATAAATGCTCTCTTTAAAATTCACTGTATTTGTTACCCATAGCGACACTCTGGCGCTAGGTTCGCTTAACAGCCTTACATCTCATTCATTTTATAACTATAATGCACAAAAATTATATCATCTGAAGAATTTGCCACATCTAAAATCGTTAAAAAGCTTAAACTATGAACAAAGAAATTAGAATGAGTTTTTCAAAGACAATTCAGTATTTCTCATTCAATTAAATCAGTTCTCATATCGCGACAAGGCAAAAATATGTAAAAACTCAAACTATCTATATTAAAAATTATGAAGTAAATCTTAAACGCTTAATTTCCTCGAATAAATTCTAGAATGGATTAAGCATGATTTAATTCGCAATAATAAAGGAAGGCGTTATTTTTGTTGTTGCAAAGATTAGTCTCTCTAGATTGGCAAAAAATCTACTATTCTGGTGTTTCAAATCAAAAGAAACATGTCCGCCATGTTATTTAAAATTTAGGCTTAACCGCACTTAAACAACTTTTAAATTGTTGATAATTCTGCAAATATTTCTCGCAGATTTCGTAAAGGCATAAAAACCTTAAATGGAAGATAAGAAACAACATAACTTCAATCATATTTAAAACAAAAAATGCACAATTTACAAACACATAAGAGTAAAGAACTGAGATCCCTAAGCCGAGTAACAGAGTGGATATATATAAAATATATTTATATAAGTTTGGTGCGGCCGATTGCAACCAAAATACGAGGTGCACATCTACATGTTATAGCAGTCCTATATACAAAATTTCAACTTTCTGAGGCTACTCGTTTTGAGTTATGCGAGATACGTACGTACGCACGCACGTACGTAAATACGTTCGTACAGACGCCACGAAAAAATTCTCTTCAGAATTAATTTTAAAGCAGTTTTATAATTTTTTTGAAGGAAAAGACTATTTTATTCTGTCCTTACGTACAGATATGACGCAAAAACATCGTTAAATTGCATTCGATAGCGGTCAAAATGGATATTTTCGTTGAAATATGCTGCCTGAATCTTTTCGCGATTACAATACTTCCTTTTTACTTCGTAGAAGGAAGTAAAAAAGCTGAGATTTGTACAAGGAAATTTTATCATTGTTGAGCCTATTAACATGTGCTTCATTCACTGAACTTACGAATTCTTTCACAGAAGCACATTATATAAAGCAGGGTTTCTTAAACTTTTTTTCAGTCACGACCCTTTTTTATCACTGAGATTTTTTTTGCGACCCCTAGGCTCCACATTATTTACGGAAATTTAGTGAGACTTCATAAGTATTACGCAAATTCGACACACGTGTGAGTGAAACCATTAATTTTTTTCACTTGCACTGTAATATACTATTGCCGTTTTAGGTCATTAGCGTTAATGTATAATTTTAAGACATAAAACAATGTGAACATTTTAAATGAGTAACAGAAATGACAGCGTCACGTGCAAAGAAAGTAAAATGAATGTTTATATTATAAAAGGAATGCGTCGAAACGTTTCCGTTCTTTCTTTGTCTGTATTGTCTTATCTTTATCTATTTTCAGATACGTTGTGTAAAAATATTTGGTAATTGTAAAATTATTATATTATCCTTTTATTGTTGTACCATTTTCATTTAACTGTTAATTAATTGCATATCATCACATAATTCATTACAGTGTGATAGTTCTGTACTTCTGAGTTGTGTAATAAAAATTTGATGTTTATACTGAAAAACTAACGGAGGATTATTAGAAAGTGGGTACTACACTATCTGTCAGTGATTGCCACTGGCCGCTGTGGGCCTAATTTTATACTGCAGTATATATCTATATCTATATTCTAGGATCGGTGAGCTCAGTCAGTGTTCTTTAATTCTTATATATTGATAAATTGCGCATTGTTTGCTTTAAAAATGATTAAATTATGTTATTATTATCTTCCGGTTAAGGTTTTATGCCTTATTTAGTTAATTTTCATGCAATAGTTGTAGAATTATCATCAATTTAAAAGTTGTTTAAGTGCGGCTAAGCCTAATTTTTGTTTACCATAGCAGCCATATTTGTTTACATTTGAAACGTAGCAGAAGAGTATATTAAGTCAGTTTCTACACCTTGAATAATTTTTCGCCGTGTGGGACCAATAGTAAACTTTCAGTTTTGTGCACCGAAAAATCTGCCTTGTTACCTGCTGGCCGAATTCCTTTTTTTGGTAGAAACTCTAATTTTAATTTTAAAATTGTTTTTTTAATAGTTTTAACTGTGCTTGGTGTTTTATTTGCTTCTTTATTTTTCAGTTTTAATGAATATATTTTGAGGTTTTACGCATTTTTGCTTTACCGCGAAAAAAGAATGAATTAATTGAATGAGAAATCTATCTCTAATGGAATAAGTTTAAGTGAAATGCAGCAAAAAGTGCTTACATTTTAATATTCCGTAAAAGGAAGTCATATGGTGTCCGCAACAGATTTTTTACTGCTAGGTTTTTAACTTCCCCAGAATTAAAAAAATACATATATATTTATTACGCGCCCTAACTTTAGATACGAAGACGTTTGAAGGGAAACTGGTTCGTATCCACGTTTTAAACGCGGGGAAATATACGAAAATGTCCATACAGCCAACCAATTTCTTTTGCACTCGAACTTACTTAGTATAAAACACGATTCTGAATTAACCATAAACTTTCTAGCCAATATATGCTAAGTAGATAATTTTTTATCTCAGAATGGGCTTAGAGATCTTATACTGACAACTTATAAGGATGTACGAAGAGTTGATTTACATTTTTTTAAAATGATGATCATACACATGGGCTTTTATATTTATAAAAATGAGGTAAAGTATTTAATGCTGCCAGGATCAAAACTGACAGTTAGATTTCTCTATAAAGGCAGTCTGCTTATAAGGTTAAACTTAATTTGACTTAAATACAAACACTACTCTATCCTTATAGACTGCTAGACGAATCATCCCTCGCGTCTTTGTTTTTCAATAACAAGCCACTAAGTAAATAGAGAATACAGTGTAAAAATAACTGAAGGATTTATTTAAACTTAAAGTTACAGTACTAAACGTATGAACAAAATTAGTTTTCGTTTCACAGCTATTACCTAAATTTATATCAAAACATTTGAATTTCGACGGGTATTGCTGTGGGAAAGTTAGAGAAATGACATAAACTTCCTTTACGAAAAACTTTAGTTTCCTTTAAAAGGTTGTTTTCTTCAAAAATAAGTTTATGTGCAAGGACGATATACTTATAATGACAAAAAATGTTTTAATTAATAATTAACTGAGGAATATACAGGATATAAGGAGAACTTATTGATGTTCTATAACCATTGCATTACTGAGAAATTCAGAAACATAAATACAAAAAGATAAACTCAGTTTTTACATTTATGCAAATATGTATGTTTAAAATTTAAATCTTATATTAAATCGATATTAAAATATTCTAGTAGTTTTTTAAATAATTAATATTAAATAATTTACATACAAGATGAAAGGAGAATCCATTATATTGGAGAAATAGCGAAAATATCGTTGAAAATAAATGAAGTAAATTGAAAAAGTCAAGCAAAATTGCATATTAATTAAGCATTTATAAATAATGAAAATGCAAGAAAATTCTGTTTGACTTTTATTATACACGATAAAGAACGTAGATAATTATTTACGTATTTGGCATTACAGAAAATAATGTTTTTTATAGAAATTTGTAAAGTGCTGTTCTCAGCGATATGATACAAAGCATTTAAAGTGTCATGAATATTATATTTTTGATACCGTATAAATCTTCTCATGTAATCAAAAAGACGTTTAATTAATTTTTATAAGGAAAATATTCACGTTATGGCATTTTATAATTTAAAATGTAGTATTTTATAAATTACGAAATCTAACTTAAATACTATTTATAAATCTAACTTAATACTACTTAACACGAAAGCCAACTTAAATACAATATATAATAAATTTACAATATAAATCTAATTACAGAAAAAATAAAGTAGATTTTGCAGATTAGATGACAATGTAATCTGAAGTATTTTCTGTTTATCAATTCTAATTGAACATGATAAAACATATAAGATTTATCGTCTTCAGAGGAGAGATGCCGTCATGAAAGATTTTCTAGAAGACACCAGCTTACATATCCCCTTTACACATGAAAGTAAACCTAACCAGTTTACCTTGCCAAGAACTCATATATCTTGCTAGATCTTGCTAGTCTTCCCAAGAACTCATATATCTTGCTAGGTCTTGTTAGTCTTCCCAGGAACTCATATATCTTGCTAGATCTTGCTTGTCTTCCCAAGAACTCGTATATCTTGCTAGATGATAGCACTAATGATCATGGACAAATAACATTTGTGATAACTCAGAAACTGTTGGAGAAGTAACATTATTAAAAATTATCAAACTCCTTTTCTCAGTTGCTCCTGTCTCAAATAAATTTCTAATACTTTTATAGTCATTTGGTATAATAGTACAGCTATTAATTTGAGTTTAATGGCATGTAGAATTTTATTGGAAATTCTTTGAATAGCACAATTTTATATCTTTCAGAAGCTGTAGCGAGAAGCATGGAAGAAGCCGCTCCAGAACAGGCTAGGTAAGTAGAACTATGATTCTTCTAAAATTCTAACAAAACGCAAGATTTTTGTGACAATTTGAGAAAAATAATTTTGTGCCGTTTAATAATAGACGAATGAAGAAGTTCAGTGTAAACATTAGCACAAATATGGAAAAAAAACTCAACTCAAAAATGTATTGCTGAACACGGTTTCTTTGGAGCTCAGCTTAGTTCTATCAAAGCATCATTAATGTGGGATGAGGTTAGGATTAAAATAGAGGAAGGCAGTGTGGCATTTTAAAGGTATTTAATGATGAAAGAATAAACATGATTATGGTATGTACAGGGTGAAAGGAAGTAAGATAAAAAGTCTATTAATCATGAAACGGAATCACATCATCAATTAACATCGTCGAACGGCATAGTTCAGCTCCATCCATCGCCATGTCCATCGGAATGCAAGTCTGTCCATTTCCTCACACAGCTTGAAGAAGTATCTCTCTGCTGTAGCTGTTGCCAGATTTAGGAAAAAGGCGGACGAGTTATAGGAGCGAATTACCACACGGCCATTCTGCCTGGAAGTTTCAGTTCAGGCTGGATTGGCATTTGGTGTCCAAGTTTGTATTTGCAGGCAGGTTTGCGACGTTTCTTATACTGTCGTATATGTGCTAGCTGTAAACGGAGGAGGTTCCGTTGAGCTTCAATGCATAATGCAACTTTTTCATCATCATGCTGTGTCAGCAATGTCATTGTCTTTGAAGTTCGTTTAAATTTTCTTCGTTTATACTTCCAGCCTTCCTTCTTGCGTTTCTTGGAGTGTGAAGTAGATAAAGTGTATGAAATTGTAATTTTTCTTCCAAATATTTCAGCATTCTTTTGTGCCTCAAAAGCTTCAACTGGAATGTCAGAGACAAGTAATTTCCTTCGATTATTTTCTGTTCTTTGGGGTTTTCTGCACTTTTAGCAGGTATTTTCTCGGTTGCTTGATCAGCACATGCTTTTTCAAATTGATTCAGCTGATTTTTCACAGTTTCTTCAGTATTCTGCACGCTTGGATCATTATCGACATCATCATCATCATTAGCTTCATGACTGTCATCATCATCATCTTCGTTGTCATCAACATCATCTTCATTGACATTATCTTCATCAACAACAGCAACGTCATCTTGATCAACATCATTATCACCATCTTCATTAGCTTCAGGAGTGCCATCATCATCATCAGCACCATTAGCGTTATGATTGTCGTCGTCATCAATATCATGATCTTGATCCATGTCGTCGTCTGCGTCATCACCATCTTCATCAACATCATCGTCATGAGCACCATGATTGGTATCAGCATCATCTGTGTCATCGTGATCATCCAAATCCAAATTGTCATCATCTAAATCCAATTCTGAATCGTCATGTGCATCATTATTATCATTTTCCTTAACTGTTTTCTTCAACTGAATTTCATTATCTGTTATTTTCTGAAAATCTTCCATATCAGTGTTGACTTCGTGTGATTTGTGAAGAGTAATGATATGTTGAACTTCTTCGAGAATTTCCGATTGTGAGATGTGTGAAAGGTCAGGTGGAAATGTGTGATCATGAGTAACATTAGCAACATTAACAAAAATTTGATCATTATTATTGTTGCATAAATGAATACCATCTTTATCAAATGTAAATCGAGTTTGTTGCAAAAAGTCTACTCCAATAATGGTATCAAGAGGAATCATATAGTCTTTTACTCCATGGATTTTAGCAGGTAAAATAGTGTTTTGAATTTGAATGTAGTCCTGAAAGAATCCAATACTTTGAACTGTGTCTCGGCCAAGTCCTGAGAATGTAATTCTGGAAGGATGTAATGGTGGAGAACCAATTTTGCGGTATGTTTTCTCCGTAATAAGTGTTGCTTGTGAACCAGTGTCGTAGAGAGCAGTTAACCGAGTTCCTTTAAGTTGAATATCAACATGCATCGGATGTTTAGAAAAATTTTGAGTAGAAAGTGCATTTACAGTACTATCGGATGTAGAACAATTAGGAGCAGATTCCGTGGTAGAACTACCAGAACGTATAGGACAATTGGAATGAACGTGACCATAATTTTGGCAGCCATAACAGAATTTGCCATTAGATTTATTAGGATAAGTATTGCTTTTGTGGCCTTTCAAACCACAGGAATAACACAGTGGTTGAGTATCTGAGGCACGTTTAGCATGAATTTTAGCACCGGGAAAGGAATTTGTAAATTTCTTTGGGGTATTTTGCTTCGAATGTGTTGAATTGTTAAAGAGTTTTTAATAAATCTTCAGTTTTTCTTTAAATTCAGGATTGGAATTACAACCGTATAAAATTATTTTGTTGTTTGATGAATCAGGAATACCAGTGATAACATAATCAATCAAAGAAGAATCATCCATAGAACCTTTGTGTGCGAGGTCTCTCATAGCTAAAAAATATTCTTGTAAGGTTTCAGATGTTTCCATGTGACGAGATTCCATTATTTTATGTAATTGAAGGCTATTAATTTTTTCCGAAAATTCATCTAATAAATGGTGTTTTAATTGTTCCCAATTAGTAATTTTACGAATTGATCTTATTAATGTTAAAGCTGGACCTGTAAGACATTTTTTAACAAAAATTACTTGGTGTACAGGATTCGTGATCTCATAGAGATTAAAAATATCTTCTATGTCAGAAATAAAAGTTTCAACGCTGTAATTATCCCGAGAGGAAAAGGGTTTGATCAAATCAACAATGTCTTTTAAGCGAAAACATTGAAACGGAACAGTCTGTGTTTGTGAAAGCAATAAATTTCCGGGCGCGCTTTCAAGAGAGATTTTTGACTCCATTTGTTTACATAAAGATCCATCGGGAGTGTGATTAATGGCTGTTTGGGCGACGCTGCGCGTCGAGGGTGAACTTTGCACCAAAGCGTCGTCTTCAAGGTCGCTGTAGTTAGCGGAATCCGATTTTAATAATGAGACATCAGGTAGATTCGTAAGAATATTAATAGCACAGTTTTCAATATCGGTGGAAAATTCTCAATGCAGTACGCTACATATGGCAATTAAATCTGTGAGAGAAAATTCTTTGATGATTTTTTGTTTCGTATCTTCAAAGTTAAATGGTTTTGGAAAACCAGAAAAATTGCGTAACCTAGCACGATTCTGCCGATCACCATCTGAGCCAAAAAGTAAACGATGTAAAAGCTTGATGTGCTTGGTACTGGCGGTTTTTAATGACTGTGCAATGTTGGGATAATCGTTAAGTGTAGCCATTATTTATCAGTTTTGTTTTTACCAAATATGAAATTCCACAAAATATGTATGTTTCGATTTCATCAAATATTAATTTTCTGGTTTCAGAAATTAGTATACCAAAATATACTCTTAATTTTTCATATTCTTCAAAATAATATTAATTCTTCTTAGTATATTACACAATAACTATGATGGTAAAACGCTCAAAAATCATAAATGGAATTGTGAACATATGATTCAAACAAATAGTAAAATATATCGTCAAACAAATCGTCATATAAGACTACGTTAAGAATGGAAAATAGAATTTCAGTTTAAGATATGATATAAAAATTAATAACTTCAAATAATATTCTACAGTGCCTGGAAAATATAGGCATCACAAGAAATAAGAAATTTATGCATCAAATTCAAAAACGAAAGTAATTCTTCAAAGTAACTTTTTTAATACATCACAATTCTTTAAATAGTCAGTACTGTATTTCCATCAAAATCAAATACCTTTAGTTTATTCAATTAAACTTCATCAAAACTGTTTAATTAATTATCATCAACAACAAATTCGAAAACGGAAGTGTTAATTCTTCAAAGTAATAATCATTCAAAAATAAAATTAATTTTCATCAAAATCAAATGCCTTTCGCTTCTTCAAATAAACTTCATAAAAAGGCGTCATCAAATATTCATAATAACTTGAAAGAATATTACTTCCTCATTAGTATTATTTCATCAAATAAAATTAGCTCTACTTACGTGCTGATGAATCACTGGGATCTTGCGATATTAGTCCATAGGTTTCCAAAGTATTCCATCATGAAGAGCTATACTCGGAATGTTATATAGTAGTCTAGGGGGTTTAACCCGCGGGAAGGCGCGTGGGGTGTATCATACCCCAACCCTACATAAAAGTGGAATATTCCTAACTTGTGAGACTGAAATTCTGTGCTTTTTTCAGTAGCTGAGTTTCTAGTTGTGGTTGACTTTCAGAACCGCTTTTTCTTTGCCTGTGTGTTTCAGAAAAAGATTTATCGGTATTTTGTTGGAACTGGGGTATGACACACCCCACGCGCCTGTACGTGTAAGTGTTTTTCTGACTGAATATTTAGTTCAGAAATTTAATTCTAGAATGTAACAGTAAATATTTCTACTCGCAAGTGATTTTAAAGTACTTGACATTAAATTCTAAAAAATTTCTAACTGCATTATGGTAAAAAGAATGAGTCCCTATGAACTGGAGATGCAACGCATGCGAGATTTATTAGAAATATTTGAAATCGATGAAGATTGCATTTCGGAAACTGAAGATGAAACTAAGAATATTTTCTACAATGTTTTGGTTTCAAAAAAGATAAAACATTAATTCCTGATGTTCCTAAAAAAGGAAAAACTTCTTATGCTTTATATAACGATCATTATAACATTATAACATTATATAACGATCATACTATAGATGATACTATTGGAGAAAATAAAACGTTAGGAATTATAGGTTTTAATAATGTGACTAAAGGAGCAGTGGATATGGGGGATGAAATGTCAGCCAATTATTCAATTGCCAGAATAACGAGAAGGTGGCCAATGGTAATTTTCTTTCCTGCACTGAATGTTGCTGTAATAAATGCTTGAAATATATTACATTCAACTGCTAATCCACCTACAAGTAACAGAAGTCTGTTTTTGAAGGACTTAGCATTACAATTAATGAAAAAAAGTATTGAACAAAGATCAGAGATTAACACTTTTCCAAGAAATTGACGTACTGCATGCAAAACAAAAGCAGAAGTTTCGATGAAGAATTAAAACGAATACATGAAATTAGAAACAACTAAGTATGAAAAATGTGTTAAATTTTTTGCCCTCGCGCAAGGACAGAAGAACGTGAATGCAATGTTTAAAATGTGAAAACATTCTGTGCCAAGAATACATGAATGTATTTCGTTCAAAGTGTGAAGAAATAAAAAAGCATGGTGTATTAGAGATGCAATGAAACTTAGAGGCATGAAGTTTATTATTTTCATTTATCTTAATTTTAACTCTAAGATTATTTCGGAAATTAATTTTTTGAAACCCAATTATTATTCACTTATTTATAATACACGAGAACAACAACAACAACAACAACAACAACAAAAAAAAAAAAAAAAAAAAAAAAAAAAACAGTTTTAAAACTAAATAATACTCTTTTTATTGTATTTTAAATATTGGGGTATGTGATACCCCACGCGCCCGTTCTAGGAACTTTTCTTGGTGCGCCTTCCGCCGGGTTAAAAAGTTGAAGAGAAGAACAGATTTTAGTTCAAGGAGTCGAAAGAGTTCGTGGGGCCGAGCCCCCATGTGGGATGAGGTTAGGATTAAAATAGAGGAAGGCAGTGGCATTTTAAAGGTATTTAATGATGAAAGAATAAACATGATTATGGTATGTACAGAGTGAAAGGAAGTAAGATAAAAATTCTATTAATCATGAAACGGAATCACATCATCAATTAACATCGTCGAACGGCATATTTCAGCTCCATCCATCGCCACGTCCATCGGAATGCAAGTCTGTCCATTTCCTCACACAGCTTGAAGAAGTATCTCTCTGCTGTAGCTGTTGCCAGATTTAGAAAAAGGCGGACGAGTTATAGGAGCGAATTACCACATTAATCATGTTGATCGTAATAGAAGTTGTAGCGGTTTATATGGAATTTGGAATGTTTGGTCGAGCGAAGAGGGGTGGGATTCAAAGCAAGTTTCCTGCGCACCTTCGGCAGGGAAAAAGTGGAACAAAGTCACAGTCTCTTGTACTTTTGTAGTTAGCTAGGACTCTAATATTTGCTAATCTGCTAGTCAAATTTCACTTCAACAAATGAAACTTCATCTTTTAGAACTAGAAGATTTTTGGATATTTAGTTTGTAACGTTGCATTGCTAATTTAACCATTTTTTATGATTTAGGTCTTTACTGTCACTTCTTTCCGTTTCTCTATCAGATTGAAAACCAAGTTAAGTACACTTAAGTTGAGGTTGTTGTATTGTAAGACAGCGTGTTTTAGCTCTCGAGGCCACGTTCCTAGATTTCGCTAACTCACATAAGATTGTAATTTTCGGCTTTTCATTATAATTGCCGACATTTAAATTGTTATCCCATAAGAAGGTTTGAGCCAACTTCGCGTTAAATCAAATGTGTAGCCGTTGGCTACTAGACTACTAGTTTTCAATCTTGAATTTGACTGTTGTTTAAGTTTCATCGCCACAAGTGGTGGTTGATTTGTAAGTACGAGTTGTGAATTTGTGTTCAAATCCTGATTTAATAAAATGTTCGATTTAAAGCTTTACTAAGACTTGTCCGTTAGACGCCGATAATTCGCTACCAGTTTGTTAGGAGTTTGGAATTAGTTTATGTTACCAATGAAAAGCCAAACTCTATAAGTTCATAGAATTGTTAAAATTAAGAACGGCTTTAGACCAGTTAAATTAAAAATTTTTGAATCAAACCAAGGGTACTAGAACAGGTATTAAAACAAGTAACCGCCGAATGAAGGTTTACGCCCTCTGTTCATGGCTTAAAAAAACTTCGCACCGTTTGATTCAACCTCATTCACCCATAGTTAAATTCCGTTAAATAAACGGCCTTTCGTTCTTAGAATATACTCTATGGGATTATGGGGGAGTGAGATAAATCCTTGGTGTGGAATTTGAGCTCTGTGCTCAATTTTCATGCTTGACAGTATACCAAATTAAATACACTCTGCTCAAAACAAAATTCAGTTCTTGTTAATTTAGGTATTTAATATGATTTTGTTTCTTGAAAATTACATGATGAGTTAAAAATATGGCTACACGTTTCTCTAAATCTAATGTATTACTGTGCATTGCAAACAGAAATGCTGCCTATTAGAACAATCGCAAGGTAATGAAAGTAAAGAGATATATTTTAAAGCAGCCTTATTGTCAAGAAATATGAGAATGTAGATAAAAAGACCAGTGCACAGATAATTCTGGTCGCAAGCAGATGATATTTTAGGGGGGGGGAAGTTGACATATTATAGTTATAAGGTATTTCTCCCTCCTTCTTGGCGTGCCTTCGTGGTGTAGTGGTTTGCACGCTCAACGAGTAATTGAGGGGTCCGCGGTTCCATTCTTGGTGAAGGCGTTGCTAATTTTTCATCTTTCTTGCTTTCAAAATTTACCTAATGTCTCTACATTGGCTCTCGAACTAAAAGGGTATTAGATGATGGTTCTCCACACCCAAGATTTAGCGATTGGGTCCCCTAAAAACCCCAGTAGCCCTTTAAAAGGGGGAGTATATAAGGTGTTTCTCCCACCTTCTTGGCGTTCCTTCGTGGTGTAGTGGTCTGCACGCTCAGCGCGTAATTGAGAAGTCCGCGGTTCGATTCCCGGCGAAGGCGTTGCTAATTTTTCATCTTGCCTGCTTTCAAACATTAGCTAATGTCTCTGTAGTAATAAATGTTTTCAGTTATCATTCTTCAAGTTTGCTTAAATTCAAAAATTTTGTAAACGCATTGTTGCATTTAAGATTAGCACACTAACCTGCCGTCTTTTGCAAAAATTTCAGAGACTGTGTTGGAACAAAGGAGATTTGTACCGAAGGCGATGACTGCAGCTGTTGTGGAGAATGGGACATGTGCGACTGCAACAATCCCAATGAACCGAACGTCTGCAGATGCAAGTACGCCATGATCTACACCAGAGTGAAGAAAATGGCGATGTGCTAGGACGGAGCTGTGAAGTTTATGTACACCCTTGCTGAATCAATAAATTGACCTCCTGGCATTTAAAATATTTCACTAAACCGCACATTCATAAACACTACTGCAGATTTCATCTAACATTCTTATACTGACGTAATTGAATTATTTTATGCTAGGAACAGACTATGAAAAAAATTATTTTTAAGTTACAGTGCTTTAGTTAAATGAACTAAGGAGGAAAAATAGCTTTAACTGAAAATAATATTCGTGATTACATATGATTTTTAATAAAGGCGATGCTTACAATCGCAGATTTTAAACCAAATTGTGAAAACTGAATTTGAACTGAGTGTAATCATTCTTATGTATCTTATCATGAAAAACCGAAAGAATGTCGACATTGAATGTCCTATGAATGTCAACACAGACCAAATACGTTGATTTATAATATACATTTGTAGACTCAATATTTGGTTACATTCTTATATATTCGGACTATCACCGTCGTATGTCGATAGACACAGATATGCTCTAGCGCAGGTGTCGAAACGAGGAAGTGAGAAGACAGATAGGGATGTGTTGTAAAAGCACGAGATGCTTGTGCAATTCAAAGTGCCATAACAGTTTAAGTTGCCGCATTATGTAAGATTATATAACATCAGTTACAAAATGAAATGAGTTCTCTTATTTGGGGTTACTTTCTTTTCTCATTCAGCATGTTTTGTTCGTTTTAATTTCAACAGTGTATTTACATCTGCTGTTACTTAAGCTTTCTTTGCTTTGACAAATGTCATAACATGTCTTAACAGTATGATTTAAAATTATAACAAAACATTTTTATTCAACATCCACCATCAAAGCAAGGTTATAGAGACATTAGGATTTTTTAAGTAGGAAACACGTCGAAAGTGAGGAATGCCCTCGTCAGGCTCGAGCCTGCACTTTTCGAATACTCGCCGAATGTGCTAACCGTTGCACCGCGAAGGCATACTTGAAAGAGGGATTAAATATATATACTTCCTAATTGAAAAGACGACTGGGGGGATTAGGGGACTCAGCCACCAAATCCTGGTGGTGAAGAATCATCATGCACCACCTTTTAGTTCGGGTGTCACTGTAGAGTCATTAGGATTTTTGAAGGAGGAGAGTAAAAAATCAGCTGTGCCCTCATCGGGACTCTAACCTGGATCTTTCGAATACGCGCCGAGTGTGTTATCCGTTATACAACGAAGGAATGCTTAAAAGAGGTAGAAAATACTTTAGAAGGTGAACGTCGCCATTTGGCGGTGTAAGTGGGAAATAAGTATATTTAGCAAACAATATTTCGGACGTACACCAAGCTACTATGTGAATATTGACATTCAGCGAAAAATGTTGACAGTTCTCCTGATTTCCGTCTTTCACAGTAACATAATCATTTTTGTAATTTTCCCTTCTATTGTTCCTCGAAATTCAATTAAGTAACAAATTACTTTTATTTTGCATTTAACTTAAAATGCATAACTTAAAAAATAGTTTATTGATATAATATTTCGTCTTTTTTTGCTCATTAGAACAAGGAGACATTAAAAATAAACAAAATCTTGGCTTATGAATTTAGAAAAATTAATCTTTCTAATCACAATGATTTCTACGTGCAAAGCGGTACCTTTCTTTCAACTAATCTTTCTAATTAGAATGATTTCTACGTACATGATATTCTCTTTCTTTTAGAGTCTTTCTGTGTGTCGGTAACGATAAAAGCCGGCATTCTATAGAATGCCTAGGCATTTTGTACAATGCCGAAAAATGGGCTGCAATGTATGAAGCATTTCCCACATTTCTTAGGCTTGTTACAGAATGCTAAATGACAAACTGCAAAGTAGGAAATACATGTTTCGAATTCGTTTCGAATATCGCGCGGCAAGGTCGTGAATTTTAATGCTCCCTTCAGGCTGAGAATTTTATATTTCGTTTACGGGTGTCAAAATACGCCCTGTTCGTACGTTAATTTGTTCAGCAAAAAGTTAATTCTATACTGTATTGCATGAAAATAGAAGTAGTCTCGGAGAAGGAAGGAGTTCGGAGTATTGAGATATCTCCGCGTTAGCTTTGCTCTTTAAATATTCTTTGCACCGTGTTGTGTTTAACGTTCTCAGTATTTGAAGTGTAATTATTGATTGTACTCTGTGATGCTGTCAACACCTGTAGGAGTATTTCTGTGAAAAGTTCCGGAACTCTAAAGTGTTTCTTTCGATGACATAAATTTTATAATCCTGTCATCGGACCTGTGCGCATTCAGTCTATCACGAACCTGTATTCACGCAACAATACTTAAGGGAATATTCGTAAGTATTGTCACTGAATCTTTCACTTTCTTTTCATTCTCAATCACAGAGTCTCCAGCAAAATAATTGGCATAGTCATTAAAATTTATTTAGAAGTTATTATTAGTTAGCCGACAAAAATTTACCTCCGATAAAAATGTATAAAATTTGAGGAAGGAAACAAAAAATTTCTCAAAAAATATTGGGAGCGGGATTATATATTAATACATAGGATGTTTATACATTTTTAGAATGATTTCGTTAAATAATTCAAAAACTTAAATGTTTTGAATAAAAATTTCTGGCAACAGCTTATTTTTTGAAGTGAGAAATATGCTATTAATTAAAAGTTTATTCTTCTCTTAAAAGGTCGCATGTTAACAAGGTGTGAATTGAAAGATAGTTTTTTTTTCTTTCCAAAGAGAAATATTACTATTCCACAATTCAAAAACGTTGTGAAATATATGGTATTAGTGCTAAAATAAGCAGCATTATTAATCGGCAACGGAAAAATCGTCAATCATTACTTCTAACTGGAGAGAAGACTCCAAACGAGTACCCGAAAAAATTACGTTTCTAATGTTTCTAAAGTTAAATAGTTCGTAACATCAGAAACTCCGCTGACACAGATATCAGTTGCAAACTCTTTAAATACATTTGTATCAATAATAATATAAAACAAAAGGCCAAGATTTGCAACTTAAAAAATTTTTAAAAAATTACGTTCAACAATTTTTTGTTGAGGCATGTGGCTCAGAACAATTTGTAGAACGCTGTGTGAAAGTTCCTTAGCAGGAAAGTGGAAATACATTGTGGCCCTTGCTGAAGCATGGGTTTACTTAAATGTTGCCACAAAAGAACGTAAATTTGTTCTCGAAAACGAAGTGAAGAAATGTACAAAGCTGGTTCTGCCAATGCAAAGAAGGTTTCAGTAAGGTATTTATGACTGTTGCAAGGAAATTAAAAATAAGAAGATAAGAAATGTTTAAATTAACTTAGCGTACTATCAAGAGAAAGTTTTACGTGCGATTTTTGCAGAATTCCATTTCTTTACCCCAATAAGTTTCAAAGAGTGAAACTTCATTAAGACAAAGCAACAAGTCATACCTCGAAAAATACCACTGCATTCCTTGAAAGAATAAAGACTGCAACAGATGTTGCATATATACATTTTCAACGTATTACTACGAAGTCTCCTGACATTTCATCTATGAACTACTGTGCCTTTTGTCTCTTGAAAAGAACTCTTTCTAAGCACAAACTCACCACGATTACTGTGTTTTGGAAAGAAATGAAAATCAGTATCCCTGGAAATTTAATAAAAAGCACTTATTTTATGGAAATCATTATGCAGAAAAAAAGCTATCAGATCAAACGTGCCAAAGTATTGAGACTAACCATATATTGCTAGAATGCCCTGACCGAAAGTCACAAGAAGTGAATGTTATTGAATATCCCTCTGTCGACTTTAATGTGGCATCATTTCGTTGAATACATAATAGGGTCAGTGAGGAAAGCTGCTGTTTCAAATAAATTTTTAATGACCAGATTATGATAGCTCGAAGGCTAGAAATGAGAATTTTCGAAAGAGTCGATTATTTGCGAGCTACCATTGCCATATTTGCGAACTGCCATAGTGTCTGTGATAAGTGGAAGAAAGACATATAGGTAGAAGTCTCTGAGAAGCTGACTTCCGTGATGAGATCAACAGATATTAACGTACTCTCCCGTATGATGAAGGCAAATATGTTATTGCCGGTGGCTCAGCCACAGATGAATACAATGCAAGTTCAAATACAAATGCAACTAATCACATAGTTCATCAAATTTTGTTGGATTAAGGACTCCACAGCAGACTTCCCTTCTGTTTTATGGCTACATTTCAGCGATGCACCTAAAAAGGGGTTTCAAAATGTATCTTATTGATCTCCGCCGTTGTTTAACTCCAGCGCAGTTTCAATGAGGAAGCTCACTTTGCTCGGCTAATAGTGCAGCTTATTGGCGGAGTCGCCAGCATGTAGGGCAGAGATCCGGATCTCTAAATTTATAATTTATAACCAAATTTACGTGAATGAAACTAATCATTCTGCTAGACGTTGTGATTAAGATAGACAAGATTTGTCAATAACGACACTTGCGTGTAGGGCAGAGATCCGGATATCTGCCCTACACGCTGGCGACTCCTTTCGTAAGATAAGAAACCTTTCATGAGATTCGACTAAATCTTACGAAAGGTTTTTTTTTGGGTGTACAGTACTTTAAATGAGCTTGTGCTGAGCAGACATAACAATGGGTATAAGATCTATAAGTGGGGACATTCTAATGGATCCATGAACATCTTGAAAGAACCATGCAACAATGGAAATATGTTGTTTGGTTAAATGAATCACGTCGATGATGGATTCAGTGTACTCCTTTTTCTGGCGAAAGTTTGGCAGACACATGTATACGAAAGGACAGGGGTAGATGTAATACTCTTCGGGAAACATTCTTGTGAAGATCTATAGGCCAATGGTTGTTGCAAAACACGCAATAAATGCTGAGAACTATGTGAATATCATTACGGACCAGTTATACCCTTTCATGGCTTTTGGTTTTTCTCCCCGAAGTGCCTTCCAGCAGAGCAGAGCTATTTATTGGAGCACTCCAGTGATTTATTGAATATACGGAATGTTTCCGGGTGATATACTATTATCCTAACTCTTCGAATATTGATTTTGTTGAGCATATCTGGGATATCAACTATTTCCTTTAATCAACAGCTCCTTTCATGGGACTTGCATGACCTCT